TGATCTAACAAGTTTATTTTCCTAATTTTGAACCCTTTTTGAGTCAAGTCCATTTTATGTACAAAGCACTAATTCACCTTGTAGCGCTTCACATAAGAAACGGAAGATCTTACAAATTTTAAAACCAAGAACCCAACGAATCCAAACTTCCCTTTGGATTCCCTTTGAGCGAGCGCATGGCGACATGAGGAAGGAACCAAAAACCTCCTCGTTATCAATACTCTATTAATCAATAACACAAACTAGTGGCAATTAGCTGCTTTACTGAACAGACACAGACGTCACGGGGATTCCTGAACGCTGTCCTGGTTCGTGCTAAACACAACAAGTCAATAACCGCCACACAAGTCTTGGTCATGGCGCTAAACCCACAATGCTCTCTGCTCGGTTTCCCAAGTCCAGCTTCTTATCCAGGAGGAGAAACGTCTTTAAGAACCGAAAACAGACTCGTTCTTAGTCGTCTGCTGGAGTCCGTCCACCGTGATTTATCAAGTCCGAGTCAAGTCAGGCTACACGGAGACGTCGATTTCCTTTTCCAGCAAGACTTTACACCTGCTCACAGTTAACAAACAGCCTGGGCTTTAATCACACCTCAGGCTGATGGAGTGCAGCAGTTCACGGTGAAGAAGCGGCGCTGAGCGTATAAATGAACATTTTGATGGATCTCAGGACATATTCTAATAATTTGAGATAGTCGTGGATGTCTGATTTTCATGAGATAAAGGCGACAATCACCCAAATCAAGACAAAACAAAACATTTCACTCAACGTGTAATGAGTCTGGAATATGTGAAAATGGATGCTTTTGAATCTAAATTACAAAAACAAATGAACTTTTTCACGATTCGTTGAGTGAATATTCAGATCGGCCTCGAAGCGACCGAACTGCAAACCCTCACACGGATTAAAAACCTCCAAAACTCCTGCTTGCAACGGAGTCTGAAAGGCAACAAGAGTGAGAGGAATGCCAACGCTCCCGCTGGAGATAAACTCCGTGTTTTATTTCCGCACTGCTCCGTTCCTAACGTGGAAACCGGAGCGACGTTCGCCGGCGACTCCCGACTCCGGCCTCGCTGTGACACCGAGACGAAACAATGAGAAGACGGAGAGGAGGGGAGGGATGTTATGGAGGAGGAGGAGGAGGAGGAGGAGGGTGGTTGTTAGCGGTGATGGAGAGACCAGAGGAGGAGAAGGTGGATGGAGGGAGGGAGGGAGGACGGGGGAGGAAAGGGGGAGCTCGACGATAAGAGAAAAATTCAGACCGGTCAAAGTTTCCTTTTTGCCAATCGTGCTCCTGATAAAGACAGCGCCTGCTCCGGAGCTGATAGAGGGGCTATCTCTCTCCCTTACTCTCTCACCCCCTTCCTCCCCCATCCTCCTCCCCCATCACTCACCCGGCAGTTAGTTTGTGAGGAAGGAGAGAGAGGGGGGGGAGAAAAAAAAAAAGAAAGAGGGGGGACGATATCAGTGCAGCATCATGGTGCTACCATCAACCAGCCACCGCGCAGCAATTAATATCGCTCCAATTACTGTTAAAGGGACGAGGCTGGGACAGGACGATAATGAACACATCCTCCGTTTCCCCGGCGCACGAATTAAAGCGCACACAAACACACACGCACACGAGCACGCACACATAAAACGTGCGCAGCTTGAAAAGGAAAATAATGCGAGATAGTGCGGTAATCTTCCTGCATTGTTTAACTCATTGAAGACAACAGACAGAGAGAAATAAATAAACCAAACAAACCTCGATAAGAGAGGAAATAAATAATAAAATTATGGCGATTTACTTGTTATCTTCTCTTAGCCGCCCGTGTGTGTGTGTGGGTTTTTTTTTTTTTTTTTGTTAGGACTTGAATAAATTTTCTCTCTCGGCCTGTCAGGCTCACATCTCACCACGGACCCCGAAGGAACCGAACGATTCAACCTGGAACCCGAGAACATACGAAGAGCCGCGTCACACCTTCATCAGCTAACGTCTCCACACCTGTACGAGCATCACCTCCAGGAACAGAAACTCTACAGGCTCTAGTTCCACCGGGAAAGTTTTGGCAGCGCACCAGTAGCTGTCCGTTAGCTGTAGCGTGCTAAGCTACAGCTAACAGACAGTTTTGGCAGCGCACCAGTAGCTGGCTGTTAGCCGTAGCGTGCTAAGGTACGGTTAACAGGCAGTTTTGGCAACACACCAGTAGCTGTCCGTTAGCCGTAGCGTGCTAAGCTACAGCTAACAGGCAGTTTTGGCAGTGCACCAGTAGCTGCCTGTTAGCCTTAGCGTGCTAAGGTACGGCTAACAGACAGTTTTGGCAGCGCACCAGTAGCTGCCTGTTAGCGTAGCGTGCTAAGGTACGGCTAACAGGCAGTTTTGGCAGGACACCAGTAGCTGCCTCTTAGCTGTAGCATGCTAAGGTGCGGCTAACATGCAGTTTTGGCAGCGCACCAGTAGCTGTCCGTTAGCCGTAGCGTGCTAAGCTACGGCTAACAGGCAGTTTTGGCAGCGCACCAGTAGCTGTCCGTTAGCCGTAGCGTGCTAAGCTA